AATGGGGGTCTCTATGAGTTGGAATCGACTCGATAGCAGTGAGTTTGATTTTGGTTTGGTTTGGGGTTCGGTAGGTAGGACGAGGCTGGGAAGGAGGTAGAATCAAGGGCATGTCTATGAAGGGGTATGTCCAGGGCCTCCTTATGGTGAATGTTCTGTATCTTGACTGTGTTGATGCCTACATCCTGCTGGTGATGTTGCGCTCTGGTTTTGAAAGATGTTGGGTAAGCACCTGGCTACTAATCAAAAGGTTGAAGGTTTGAACTTACCCAGAGGTGTCTGGGAAGAAAGATCTGGAGATTTGCTTCTGAAAGGTCACAAACAAACAACCCTATAGGGTCCCGTTCTACTCGGTACACATGAGGCCGCCATGTGTGAGGATTGACCACAGTACAACTTTTTTTTTTTTTTTGGCTTTTACTAGCAGGGAAAACTGTGCAAAGAGCACCCAGGAACTCTCTGGATTATTCCTTATATTTTATATTAACCTGACTGCGTTGTTTTTAGGTGCCCTAGAGTGGACTGTGACTCATAGAGACACCATATGACTGAGTAGAACAGCCCCACCAAAGCGTTACCAAGGCTGTCAGTCGTTAGGGAAACAAAGGCCAAACCAAACCCAGGGCCACCTAATAGATTCCGACTCATAGTGCCCCTAGAGGGCAGAGTGGAACTGCCCCACAGGGTTTCCCAGGCTGTCACTTTTACGGAAGCAAAGCCCAAACCACAACCACTGGAAGCAAAGCCCAAATTCACTGGAAGCAAAGCCCAAAGCAACCCTTTGCCTTGGAGTGGATTCCAAGTCACAGCGCCCCTAGAGGACAGAGTGGAACTGCCCCACAGGGTTTCCAAGGCTGTCAATCTTTACAGAAGCAGACTGCCTCATCTTTCCCCCACAAACCAGCTGGTGGATTCCAGCTGCCAAGCTTTCCGTTAGCTGTCAAATGCTTAACTATTGTGTGACCAGGGCTCCTAACCTGAATATCAAAACCAGAAAAACCAAACCCATTGCTTCCGAGTTAATCGCAATTCATAGCAACGCTATAGGACAAAGTAGGACTGGGTTTCTAAAGCTGTTATCTTTATGTGAGGAAATCTCCAGGTCTTTTATCCTACACAGCAGCGGGTGAATTGGACCACAAACCTTTTGGTCAGCAGCTAAGGGATTTAACCGTGTCAGGTGGCCCAAAATGGAGTCACCTGTGCTAAGGCCTGGTGGTGAATCATCAAAACTGAGCAGCAAAGGTCAGAGATGTTTCTGTCTTGAAAAAAAACTCACTGTCCTCCAGTCCATCCCGACTCACAGCAACCCCTCTTAGGTTTCTGAGGAGCCGTTTTACTCTGTCTTCTAGGAGCACTGTGAGTCAGAATGGATTCTGCCACAGTGGGTTTAGTTGGGCACATAACAAAATAATAATAATTGTGTGTATATATATATATATATAATTATTATATATAAATAATTATATAATAATAATAAATATATGTTGTTGTTATGTGCTGTCGAGTCG